GACCGGGCCGTTAAAAGTTCAGTCGGCGGTGCAGGGGGCTAAGGCAGGCTCCCTGCCTGCCGTGGCTCTGTGCGGCTCCCGGAAGCAGCGGCATGTGCCCCCTCTGGCTCCCAGGCATAGGGGCAGCCAGGGGGCTCTACGCGCTGCCCCCATCCCAAGCACCAGCTCTGCAGCTCCCATTGGCCGGGAAGCGTGGCCAATGGGAGCTGTGGGGGTGGTGCTTGCGGATGGGGCAGCGTGCAGACCCACCTGGCTGCACCTCTGCATAGAAGCCAGAAGGAGGACATGCCACTGCTTCCGGGAGTCGCCTGAGGTAAGCGCCGTCCAGAGTCTGCACCCCTGACCCCCTCCCACACTCCGACCCCCTGCCCCAGCCCTGATTCCCCTCCTGGCCTCCAAACCCCTCGATCCCAGCCCAGAGCCCCCTCCTGCACCCCAAACTGCTCATCCCCAGCCCCACCCCAGAGCCTGCACCCCTGCCGGAGCCCTCACCCCCCGTACCGCAACCCCCGCCCCAGCCTGGAGCACCCTCCAGCACCCTGAACCCCTAATTTCTGGCCCCATCCTGGAATCTGCACCCCCACCCCAGAGCCCATACCCCCCTACCACACCCCATCCTCCTGCCTCAGCCTGGAGCCCCCTCCCGCACCCCAAGCCCCTCATCCCTGGCTCCACCCCAGAGCCCGCTCCCCCATCTGGAGCTCTCACTCCTTCCCGCACCCCAACCCCCTGCCTCACCCAGAGCCCCCTCCTGTACCCTGAACTCCTCATTTCTGATCCCACCCAGGAGCCTGCACCCCCAGCCAGAGCCCTCACCCCCTCCTGCACCCCAACCCCCCGAGCTAGCCCAGTGGAAATGAACAAGTGAGTGAGGGTGGGGAGTATGAGCGACAGAGGGGGAGATGGAGTGAGCAGGGGCGGGGTCTTGGAGGAGGGGCAGGGCAGGGGGCAGAGCAAGGGTGTTCGGTTTTGTGTGAGTAGAAAATTGGCAACCCTAATCCTGCCGACCCCATCAAAAACCACAATGCTCCTTCTGTTGAAGTCTGTCAGAGTCTTGAACTGCTTGCCGTGCCTCGACTCTACCTATCCTGTATGCAAATGGAAGATTTACTCTCCATGGCTACCAGTCCAGCTCTTCTGCACACCTACATAGTAAGGGGAATATGGAGCCTTGACAATAATGGCCTCCTCTGGGCAGGGGTAGAGCAGCCGCATCCCAAGAGTTTATCCAGGCACACTCAACACGTCACACATGGAATAAAGCACTGCCTTCCCAGGATGCAGGTGGAAGTCTTGACCTCCATTCAGTGCTGCAGAGGTCAAAATATGCTCCAGTTCAGTCTGTTATTTAAGCATGTGGGTACTGTTAAGCATGTGAGTTGTCCAGATAGAGTTAATCAAATATTATTTACCATTTTCCTCCCAGTCAACAAAATGGCTTTTTAACAAAACAGAAAGTTTTGTGACAATTAATGTTTTTTGGTCAAAATTTGTCATGATTTCAACCACAAAAGCCCCAAACAAAACCCCTTTTGTTTTCCAATGAAAACTTGAAAACTCTTGCAGAAAACACGTTTTCTTCTAAGCTTTTTGCAGAAAATAATATTTTTTTCTGACCGGCTTTAGTCAGTGAGTCTACTGTTGTGCTTAAAGTTATACATGTGTTTAAATACCATGTTCACTTGGAATCGTGGTCGGTATATAATTTAAATATTGCAGTAAAGAAAGCAAGCCTTGTTTTTCTGCCCATGGCTAATTCTCTATAATTGCAGTTGGTCCATTTTTTCCCATCAGAACAGTTTTCTGTCAGAAAATGCTGATTCAACTAAATCAAAACATTCCATAGGGATGTATCGACGTTGTTGACATTTTTGATAGAAAATTATTGAAAAGATTCATTTTGATAAGGTTGAAGCATCTTGTTTTGACTTTATCATTTTGCTTCTGTTATAATGTAACAAGGGGAAACAATACAGTCAAAATGAAAAGTTCTGTCCATATAGACAAGAAACATTTAGACAAAGTCAAAAAAAGTTTCAATTTTTCTGATATACAATTCTTGTTCCACCTAAAATTTTGAATTTTCATGTTGACTTGGGAATGAAGAAAAAAATCAGGATTTCCAGCAAAACAGAATTCTAGGTTCTGACCAGCTCTGTATATAATATTTAGAACATATATAAAAAAGAAGGGCAGCGTTCAAATAGCATGAGAGGAACAGGAAAAAACAGATGCAAATAAGATACATTTAGTTTATGTTTTTTGGAGTGTGTGATTATTAGTCACTTAGGGCAGAATCACGAAAAGCATGGATTATGGATAAGATTGAAATCAGATGCTAGCTCCTTTGATCACTTGCATATTTGTTCATCTGCAAAACATCTTGTTGTTTTCCCCAAGCTTTCTACTATTTCTAGTGCTGTTATAGATGTTGACAGAAGCACTCTCTTCCATCTGTAGATAATGTTACCTTGTAAATAAAGCCATGAATGCAAAATAATTGCCTGGAGAGTCAGAAAAAATGGCTAGTAATTCTGAATATAAGATTATTACTTACAATAGATTTGAAACATCTGTTTCATGGTTGGTTTTTTGTTTTGTCTTGTTTTGCTGTGTGGCTTTTTGTTTTTAACATCTTCATAATAAAATGTATGTGGTGAATTCTCCTGGCAATTTTCCTGGTGCCACTCTATCAAAATAAATGAGATAACATTAGTGCAATTAAAGGGAGACATTAACCCATTAATCAATATACAGATTCCTAACACTCTGAGCCAAATTCTGCCCTTTGGTAACTTATACTCTTTCATCTTTACTGATAATCTCAGTTTAAATAGAGGCAGAATGTGGCGCCACACACAATGCGACAGAAATATCAATAAAGAGCATGTGCAAATCTTGGCCACGGGGAGGCAGTGTTAAGATATGGCTAGTGTAACAGATGGAGGCCAGGAATTCAGGATTGTGTTGTATTCTACCTATTGCGTATGGCTCCCAGCACCATAGCATTACAGCATCTCCCATACGTTCAGAAGTAGAACTAACAGTAATGATACCCCTCTTTCTTCCTTCTCAGCCCATAGGCAAAATCATTTGCATGGGGGGGGGGGGTGTGCATGTGTGAGAGAAGATCATAGATATAAGTTTAGTCACTAACACAAGGTCATGGTCATGCTTATCTCTTTGTGGGAGTGCTAGTTTAGGCCCAGTTATCTCCTGTTGTCACAAACTGCCTCCGACTTGCTGATGGCGTCATTGTTCTGGTGGAATGTTGCTGTCTTGGGAGCGCACAGTAACAGAGGATGGGGGAGTCGTTGGCCAATCCCGTGGAAGGCTTTGAATCCCGCAAGCTTCAGCTGGATTCTGGATTCCGTGGGGGACTGGTATAGAGAGTGGCGCACTAGGGTAACGTGCTTATGTTGACCTGGGTTGCTAAGCAGTGAAGCGGCTGCATTTTTTACCACTTGGAGCTTTTTTCTGTGTGGGGGGTTTATTTAGAGCGGGTGGGAACAGTTTTGCCAAAATATACTGAACTGAAATGTTTTTCAGAGCAGTATCAATTTTGACAAAAACAGAGGGAGAGAGCGGGAAAACACATATGCCTACTTGCTATGTAGCCTCGTGGTTAGGGCACTGATTAGGATGAAAAACTCTGCGATGAATCAGGCAGAGCAAGGACTTGGAACCTGGTTCTCCCACATCCCAGGACAGTGTTCTAACCATCAAAATATAATTGCCTAATTAAAAAGCTTGTGTTTTGATCCCCAAACAGACACTTTGACACAATTCTGGTTTTTGCAAAAAAATATTTGAAAAGTTTTGTTTTCGTTAACATGTGGAATTAAAACACATTTTGAAACCTTGAAGGTTGCTGTGAAATGGAATTGCCATCTTCTGGTCAGCCCCAGGTTTAATTCCTAGATATAATGAGATGTAATAGCCTGACCTGGAGATCATGGATGTCGGCAGCCAGGCATCAGAATGATAGGTTGGGAGGTGATATTCTGGCCCTCTGCAAATGGAAGTGGAAGTTTTTAGTGATACATCCATTCCTTACAATGACAACATTTGTGACAGTAGTGTGTTTGTTTTAAAGGCACATGTTCTTCTTTTGAAATATTTATGCTTGTCCAGAAACACGTTGCATTCTTCTGTGGTATATAGTCCCAGACAGTACTAAGTGTTGTTCCATCATCTACCACATTCTTCTAGATACTAGAAGATAATTCTTTTAAACAGGATCCACATAACAAATTGAATCTTTTGCTAATAATTGATCTCTGTTCCAGTCAAGCGTCAGAATAGAGTTCTTGGCTACATTAGACAGCCTTAAATGTTTTCTTTATTTGTCCTCATTAAGAACAGATAACTGATGTCTCTACTGGCAACATTGATATCAGAGATACTTTCAAAAGAAGCACCTCAATTTGTAGAGTTGTTAAGCTTTTTTTTTTACCATCCTCTGTCTTTTTTTACACAACAAGCCCATGTGAACTGTAATACTCATGCTGTTGGGCTTTCCTAAAGGAAATCAGTGGCTTTCACTCTGAGAACACATTGTTTTTACTAAGCAGCAGCACTTGGCCACGCCTGGAAAGGATGCAGTATCTTATGTACAAAAAAAAACTTGAGTGAGCTTATAATATACTGAAGTGATAACTTAGCCCCTCGCTCTGAGTTATTTGGCATTTACAATAAGTATCATCATCTCCTCTTCTATCGAGAATTAATGTTTCTTATTGAACATGTTTATTTTAAAGTGCAGTGGGAAGATGCTGTTTTAATGTTTCCTAATCCAATTTAAATGCAAATGTTAACCACTCACATGATGCTGTGTGTACATAATTAAGCATCATTATATACTACATGAATCATGCAAAAAGCTCCAGAGAGCCATTCCACTATGTAAAACATAGGCTTTACATTGAAAAGCAGCCAAGTGGCTTGTGCCTTTTGTGATTAAGTATTTGTACTTATTAAAGCTCTCTTTTGATTTATAGGTCAACAGATTACGGGACAACATATGAGAAACTGAATGATAAGGTTGGCCTGAAGACTATTTTGAGCTACTTGTACGTCTGCCCAACCAACAAGCGCAAGGTAAGTGAGAATACGTTTAGCGTCTTGTTAGTTTATGATATCACTTCTGCCTTGGCTGGTTAATCTTCATCCATTCCCTGAATGTTCATTACTGCTAATGTAAGTACTATGGACCAGATCCTGTGTTTGTGTAAATTGGCGTAGCTCTATTGAAGTAAATGCCGGTTTACAACAGCTGAGGATCTGGGGCTGTGATTGTCTACAAGACATGGATGGGCATAAAAGGTATCGAGCATCCCATCATATTTATACCTTCTGGCTGGGGATGATATCATTGTTTAGAAGGGGAGAGCCTTGTTAAGATGTTAGGATCTCCGGAAACCAGATTGCATGTAAGGTTATTTGCCCTGACAGTTCTCCCACTAGCCAACTGAACAGGATCTGACAAAATCCTGAAGAGAAAATGCTCCCAAAGCCCAAAAGGTTTTAATTAGGCAAGCACCCCACTGAGTTACAATTTACTGAGAGTTTGTAATGCCGGCATGCTTGTAAAAGGCAGAGGCTACCTTCTCTTCTGTACATTTATGACAGGGTCTCTTGCAGTATGGAAGTATAGGGCACAGGATATGAAGAAGTAGGGTGATTATTGGGAATAATGCCCTGGATTGTCCCACACAGACCCCTGATTAAAGGGGACGCCCCCAGACAGAGTCTCCCTCAAATTCTGTATTAAGCAAGGTTTTAGCTGTCTCCGTGGTACCATTCACCCCCTCTCCGCAGACCCTGCTGCTCCGTCTCAGCCTGTGGTGTGTGTCCTTTTAGACTGCTTGCTTTTTGAGGCAGGGACTTCATTTTCCTCTGCACTTGAAAGGCACCTAACTGGTTTACGGAAACTGAGACAGTGCATATGGATTGGGAATTTCCATGCAGTATACACAGGATAAATGCCTGCATAAGAAAAAAAAACAGGAACACCAGCATTCTCGATCTTAAAGTCTGTGTTGGCCCAAGACATGGGAACAGTTGTTCAAGGATTGTTCATTTGGGGTGAAATTTACCCCTGCACATAGGGCCAGTACAAGGCTAGGTACCAAGAACTATTTAATCCCTTAGGACTTCTTCCTCCCACAGCATGGGTGATAAATTAGGGTGGGATCCTGTCTGTAGGGCTTAACTGGGATTTAAATATAGCATAGGCTTCTTGCTGGCCCTTTGCACAGTAGCGAATTTCACCCTTATTACATACTTGTGCTGTAATGAGGGACTGAAAGGTCATATGTAGTAGTGGCAGAAATGGTCACTTGGGTCATCTGGTTTGATACCCTGCATTTTATATAACTGCCTTTCCCACAAATGACTTCTGTGACCTATTATGTGCCATAAAGAAATTACCATTTGCACCAGCTAAGTTCCCTTGAGGCAGCATACATTTCTGTCTTTTGAAAATATTCAGAGTTTTAAGTCTATGAATAGCTCTAACTTGCTTGTTTGAGGTCTGCCTAGTCCATGTCTTGCATTCATCAACCACGTTCTGGTTTTCCACATTATACATTGAATTGCCCATCTGTGACTTGAGCGCAGGGGGTAAACACCACTTCCAAATAAACAGAGAAGAATGATGGATATGAAGTCATTTAGATGACTTGAAACCCATACTTACCCAGGAGGTCCATATAGTCTGAATAGAACCGTCATAGACACCAGTTTTTGTACAATGTGCTATTGATACTCTGGTAGCTTTTACTCAGGTAACTTTTCATCCCCCAACTAAAATGGAATTTGCAAATTAAGGTCTCGATCCTGCAAACACGTCCATACATGAGTAACTTTATGCACTGAGTCACCCCGTGGATTTTAACGAGATTACACATGCAAGTAAAATTACTCATGTGAAGACATGTTTGCAGAACTGGGGCCTAATTCAGATTATTTTAGGTTAAATGATCCTGTAGTTTCTATGCCTCATGGACAAGCTTGGCAAGTGGACCATTGGCAGTACTTTAGACTACATCTACACATGAAGGTGGAGGTGTGATTCCCAGCTCAAGCAGACATAATCACCCTAGCTATCTTTGAGCTGGCACACTCCAAATAGTCGTATAGCTTTGGAAGCATGGGCAGCTGTGAGCAGTGACATGGGCTATATGGTTGCCAGGTGTCTGGTTTTTGACTGGAACACCCAGTCAAAAAGGGACCCTGGTGGCTCTGGTCAGCACTGCTGACTGGGCTGTTAAAAGTCTGATTGGTGATGCAGAGAGGAAAGCAGGCTCCCTGCCCGGATCTGCGCGGCTCCTAGGAAGTAGCCGGCTTGACCAGCTCTTAGGCAGAGGGGCGACCAGGGAGGGTTCGTGCACTGCCCCCGCCCACAGGTGCCGCCCCTAGCACTGGCTCCGTAGCTCCCATTGGCCGAGAACCACAGCACACGGAGCACACAGAGCTTCCCTGGCCGTGCCTCTGCCTAGGAGTCGGAGGGACATGTCGCTGCTTCCCAGGAGCAGCCAGACGTCAGCGCCACCTGGAGCCCACATCCTGAACCCCGTCCCGCACTCCTGCCCCACCCCAGAGTCTGCAGTGCCAGCCCGGAGCCTGTACCCCCTCCTGTACCCCAACCCCCTGCCCCAGCCTGATGAAAATGAGCGAGGGTGGGGGAGAGCAGGTGACAGAAGGGGGGATGGAGTGAGCGGGGGGGCAAGGCCTGAGGGAAGGGATGGGGCAAGGGTGTTCAATTTTCTGCAGTTAGAAAATTGGCACCCCTAACAAGCTACCCTCCCCGAGTACATACCCCTGGGATCCAGGCAGGTTTGTACTTGGGGCGGCCAGCCCAGGTTGCCACTCACCTTGCTGTTCACATACAAAATGGGAAATGACTGCCTAGGAAGGAGTACTGCGGAAAGGGATCTGGGGATCATAGTGGATCACAAGCGAAATATGAGTCAACAGTGTAACGCTATTGCAAAAAAAGCAAACATCATTCTGGGATGTATTAGCAGGAGTATTGTAAGCAAGACATGAGAAGTAATTCTTCCGCTCTACTCCGCGCTGATTAGGCCTCAACTGGAGTATTGTGTCCAGTTCTGGGTGCCACATTTCAGGAAAGATGTGGACAAATTGGAGAAAGTCCAGAGAAGAGCAACAACAATGATTAAGGGTCTAGAAAACATGACCTATGAGGGAAGATTGAAATAATTGGGTTTGTTTAGTCTGGAGAAGAGAAGACTGAGAGGGGACATACAGTTTTCAAGTACATAAAAGGTTGTTACAAGGAGGAGTGAGAAATTTTTTTCTTCTTAACCTCTGAGGATTGGACAAGAAGCAATGAGCTTAAATTGCAGCAAGGACAGTTTAGGCTGGACATTAGGAAAAACTTCCTAACTGTCGGAGTGGCTAAGCACTGGAATAAATTGCCTAGGGAGGTTGTGGAATCTCCATCATTGGGGATTTTTAAGAGCAGGTTGGACAGACACCTGTCAGGGATGGTCTAGATCAGTGGTCTCCAAAGTGGGGTGCGTGGCAGGAGGAGCGCCGCCGGAGCAGCGCCGCCTTCGGCAGTTCGGGCGGCTTTTTTTTTGTTGCTTCGACAGTTTGGGCAGGAGTCCGAGTGGCTTTTTTCTTTTTCTTTTTTTTGCTTGGGGCGGCAAAAATGGTAGAGCTGGCCCTGCGGCGCGGCCGGGGGTGCGTGTTCAAAAATTTTTTATTGATGGGGTGCGCGATCAAAAAAGTTTGGAGACCACTGGTCTAGATAATACTTAGTCCTGCCTAAAGTGCAGGGGACTGGACTAGATGACTTCTCGAGGTCCCTTCCAGTTCTATGATTCTATGCTACCACGGCTACCCTACTATTTTTAGCATGCTAACTCAATGAGAGTTAGCACAAGTATGGCTACGTGAGTGAGGAATCACAACCCCAACTCCAAATGTAGGCCTAGCCTTTGTTCTCTATGTTTGCAGCAAGAGAGATTTGAGTTAGATATTAGGGAAAACTTTCTAACTCTCAGGCTAGGTAATCACTGGAACAGGTGACCTAGGGAGGCTGTGGAATCCCCGTCACTGGAGGTTTTCAAGAACAGGCCAGACAAACACCTGTTGAGGTGGTCTAAGTATACCTGGTCCTGCCTTAGCATGGATGGGAGGTGGGTGGAGTAGATGATCTCTTGCGGTCCCATCCAGCCCTATTTTCTTATGAGTCTATGTTTCTGTCCATTTTGATGTTTGGGACATGGTTGCTTTAAGAAGAATGGGGAAGAACAAGGCGGCTTTGGGGAGGAGAGATGCATGGAGCTGGGGATTTTGACACCGGTTCTGTTAGTGCTGCGGGTGGTCTCTCTCTCTCTCTCTCTTGCAAGTTGTATGAAAGCAAAATTGCCACTTGGATGCTGACCTTTGAGCTGTGCATGGATGCACCACAGGGGATTTAGGATGTGGAACGTCGCTCCTTCCCCACTCCAATGGACTGAGTTTTTGTATTGTTTGAATGATTGCTGGAAGACCCAAAAAGAAGACTGGTCTACCCTGGCTGCTGAAGAGCTACCTGATTAATGAAGCATACTTAACTAAATTGCTCAGATTTAAAAAAATCAGGCTGGATAATGAGATCTTGATTTAAAAAAAAAACACAGGCTTGTAGCTTTCCTAGTCCCACAAAGGAGTTCAACACAAATTATTGAAACTGAGTGCAGTACTTTTAGAGAGGATGATGACTGACTGTTCTCGGACATTTAACGTAATGGAAGCAGAGAGGGGGCCCTAGCCATTTAAATCATGATTTTGATTGTTAAATGGAAATGAAAAGAATGTTCAGCTGCAGATAAATGGGGCTCCCAGGGTCGCCTTTTGAAAAGCTGATAGATTTAAGAAACATGGTAGGACAATGAAGGTCTTTACAAATGGTGAGAAAATCAATAACGTTGACACAGCAGTATATTTGTGTACAATTTCTTTCCTTGCATCGTGATATTTTCATGTAGAAAGGGATGTGCTTGAATAAAACCTGGATCTAGGCCCATTGAAAAGTTATTTTGTGATATATTTTTCCCTAATCAGTTATCTCTGAGAAATAAAAA